AATTGTTAATTCGAAAATACCAAGTGAGGCAAATTAAAATAGCTGTATTTCACTGACTGCTAACAGTCAACTCACAAAATGTTATATTGTAAATAGAGTAGAGTTGTGGCTACATTTTAGTATAACTAACAGACGATTAGTGCGCGAATTCTCAGTAAATCTAGGGCGTTGACCCAACTATCGAACATGACAATATGGCTTGGCTCCTATTTTGGAGATAACAATTTAGGTTACCTATTAAAAACAGTATGGAACTTGAAAAGTCTAAGAAAAAATGAATATCTAGAAAGGATGGGAGCCTGAATATCTGCTATCTGATATGTGTATAATATCTAACAAATCACATGCATGATGGAAAGGTATATATTTAGAAAGGTTGAGTATAAAATCTTTTAATCAAGTATTTGAACTTAAAATCAGCTCCAGCTGGTGAATCATCTATCGCTACTACGTAAGCAAAGTATTGGTAATGTACATTTAGATCAATATGATGACGATTTAGCATTAGAAAATTTTGAAAAATCATTAAAAATTAAATTACAGATAGTTGGTCGTGTACATCCTGGTACAGCAATGTTGTATAATAACATTGGTAAAATTTATAATTACCCAGAGAAACATGGTTTCACACTAGAAAATTTTTTATTTCCTGTAAATCATCCTTTTCTTCGCTAACTTTTAGATAATATACAAGATATCAAAAGCAAATCAAAGAAGTTAGGTGAGTAAGCTAGAGAATCGTTCTTGAACAAAACCGATATTTTTCGATGGAAAACGTATCAAAATGATGTCTGGACCATTTTCTATCAAAGCACCGTTAATCTGTCCAACACGGGATCGACCCGGCTCAGGCAGGGCCACTCGAGTTTTTGACAAAACCTGAATTTTTTCATGAAATAAATCAAATTTTAATGAAAAGAAGAGGGTAACTTGTTCTTTGCCGTTTTTACCACACCATTATCATAAAAAGTGCATTCCTAACTTAGAATATAGTTTGAAGTGTGCACAACTTCATTAGAGTGCTGCGAATAGGGTGCGAAGGGGTACGGGTTGTAAAACACATCAGAAAGTTCTACAATAATCTCTTTTCTTAATACAGCTGGTCTGTGAGACCCTTATTAGAAATCTTAACAGGAACAAAAATTCGATTTTACATTAGATGGCTAGTTTTTTAATGACCCAGAGCTAGTTAAAAGAAATTTAACAAGTAATCCATTGACAGTTATCTTTATGATAGTCCATCCACTCGTTCGTCTCCAAGAGATCACATTTAACGTCCTCCTTACGTCTAAAAAATGGTAAAACAGCATAATTTTAAAAGAAAATATAACTGTGACATAAATTTACCTGTTCGGTCGTTGCTGTTTTGAATTACTAATCATTAAAACGTAGAGTCTATTTGGATTTGTTAAACTTAGTAGAAGATAATCTCGACTCGCCTGGATCTCACCGGTCATGTTTTCGATGAATAATTTTCCTACTTGTGTTCCATCGTCAACTCGATACATATAGAGTAGAGAATGTTCCATATTCGTAATAAATACATATTCACCACTTTCATTCAAACATAAATGATCACATTTATATTTAAGTGTTATGATCCCTTTTAATTTGTAAACCATATTGTACAATGTTATTGAATTTGTAGACGCTTTGTATTTCACTAAACAAGTACTACTGATTGTGTACAAATCAGCATAGCCAACGTTTATTGGTTCCTTATCGGCATCATTCATATTCCAAATTCGTATGTGTCTGTTCTCGTAATGAACAATCAGGTAATTGAGTAGAGACTGAATTTGTTTTATTTGAACATTGTGCCCTTGGAATAGATATCGTTTTATTGAAATATAATCTGCAGATTTTGATTCAAGATGAAACATAACAATCGTTGAATAGTCATCGGATAACATAATTAGCTTGTTTTTTTGTTTAGCTGTTAATAGAGTTGAACACGAAACGTTTAGTGAAGTTAATTGTGTGAGATTGAACGTAGAATCAATTGTCGAGAGCATTGAATTTGCTTCAATAATATAAAAAGTATCTTGAAAATAATATATTTTAATAGGATGGTTAAACATCTTATGAAACAACATCATTGTATCCTTCTTGTCGTTTATCGAGTAGATAAAAATGGTATGTTTAGAATCGACTAACAGCAAAGATGATGGTAAAAGTACCCAGTGAACGATCACATTATCTAATGCAATTATCTTTCTAATACTCAATTCATCGATAAATGACCAAACAGTCAATTGACTACAGAGAAAAGAAATATTTCTTTTAGTTTCAAAAACAAAATTTAAGAGAAGACATACAGTTTTGATATATCTAACGTGATTGCATTGTCGTTTTGAAGAGATAAATGTGAGATCAGACTGTCAATCTGAACTGGATGATACTCACTCACGGGAAATGTTATCATTGTCCCATTGTATTTGCGCAATTCACCATTGGTTAAAGCACAAAATATTGTGATACCATCACGATGATCTAAACGTAAAGAGTGGAGATAACGTTGAAAAATATTAAAACATAGTCAGAGGAAAATCTAATAAAAGTCTATAGAAAGGAAATACTAGAAAATTTTTTAGAGTAAATTAAAACATATTCAGTATAATCCTTGTAAAAAAAAGGTGTCTTCAGAAGCCTAAAGAGACTGTACGAGTTTGTTAATAGAAGAATAAACATGGTTTCTAATCTTTATCTGGGAGAAAGTTTTAATGCAAAATTTTGTCAGTTTTGCTTCTAAAAAGAAAAGATGCGATCAGGTATCTTCTGTCAAATTGTAAAACTGCAGATCTTTATTACTTTTCTATCAAAATATATTCGAAACATGTTCATACTTTTTTTCTATTTTGAAATCGACAATAGAAAAGCGTATCGCCTCAAAATACGTACATTCGAAGAATGGAACAAATCTATTCACTATTCAATGATTTATTCTGCAGGTTTACTAGAGCATTTCTGAAAATGAGTGAAATACTTTTGATTAAACATTCTTTTAATGAGTATACTAGCTTTGCTTTTAGAGAGAACTAAAAACAAAGCTTCTTTTCGATAATTACCAATTCTAAACACGGCACTTGATATTGTTGCAGCTGTTAAATCGATGTCAAATTTTGATAACAGACAGTAACCATGTATGTATGTATTGTCATCATTTTCATTTAGTTGTTCACATTTCCATTCATATATATAAATTGTTCGCTCATTCGTACAAAGTAAATAATTATCTCCTCTAAAATTATTCTCATACTTTGTGTGGACAAAGGTGTACGTGCCTGGAATTTTAATAGCATCAAATATTTCTGGCACATAGTTATCATCGATTCGAAATGTTTTATTTTCGCAATCGCAGCTGTGAAGTACTTGTAAACAAGTCGATGTTGTATAGGCAAATAACGGTTTTTGTAACGAGTGAGATAACAGAAATTTGCCGATTATCGGTTGATGAAAAGGGATTTTTATCGGAGAGAAGTTGTGAATGTATGACAGTTCATGCATTTTGACTATATTATGTTCATGAATCAACATTTTGTTTTCGTTTAAAACATGTCGGGTAAGATAGGGTAAATGATACAAAATTAAGTGATCCTCATGAACATGAATGTCTGTACAGGGGTTAAGAAGAACCGAGTACGAGAGACATGGAGTTTGTATTTGACCAATATGGACTAAACAGAGTTCATTCAAACGACTAATAATAACCATGTACACAATTTCACCATTATTTAAAATAACCTTTAGAATTGTGTAAGTGTGTTTGAAACTTGTTTTCGACACCTGATAATCGACAATCTTGTCTGCCAATTGATATTCGTAAATCAGTTCTTTTCTCGTCTTGAAATCCCAGATTTCAAGATGATTTGAATTTTCAGGGCATAGCAAGAGTAGACCGTTTCCGAATAAATCAACATTTAACCAGTGACCGTCTGTTCGATAAAAGCATTCGATATTGTTTTCATAATGGAAGATGATGAGTTCATGTTGAGAGTATACACATATATAAGGATGATCAATTTTGAAACGCCGGAAGACATTAGATGTGTTGAACTTTAGTTTAAACGGACAGTCGGTCTGATACGAGCTCGGTCCAATGCTCATTAGTTGAGTATTAGTCAGTGCAAATAAGCGCCATTCTAGATAGATCTGATGAATTGCTGAGTTTTGTTCAATTGTTTGATTCCAGATATAGCTGTTCCACGGAGCGCGTGTAGCTTGTGGATAGGGGAACGTCAAGACAGAATCATGTTTCCCACTGTCTTCTTGCTCAAGTGCGCTCAGTTCGAATGCATAATTATCCGGATATTTATTTAACTTTTCTCGTAACATTTCGAATATTATAAGCAAAGCGGTCAGTTTCCCCGACGAATCGAGAGGCCTCATTGAAAATGTCTTGAGTAAATCGTCCAGTTTATAATAGCTGAGATAGGCACGCATAAAGGTGTAGTTGTAAATTGTATGTGGATGAGCGGCCTCATATCGCGCAATGTTCAAAATAAGTTGATCAATTTTTCGTTTATTGTACAACTTTTTCTTTCTATCGAGAATGAGTGGTCCTTGGGAGCTCACCACACGATTTGTTTGAATTGTAGACACGGATAAATGATATTTTGCAACCAGTTTCGATAATACTTGATACGGTTTCAGTTGTCCACCATTCCAGCAGTCGGCATACAGTTCAATTCGATTTTTCTCCAATAAAGCTTGTTCATTAGTATCCAATACGAGTTTACCGACATCTTTTGGTTTGTACTCTTGAAAACTTCGATGGTAACTAGAGAAATAGAAGAAGGGAACAGATGAATAGACGTTTTTTGTTTTTTTGATCTACATTTTTAGTAACTATTACAGAAGTTGCAAGTTCGCAAAACGTCTGCTCCTCATACATCATTTCGCATACAGATTCTGCCCAATGGAACTTTGATCGATCGAACAAAAGTTCTGTGTAAAATACGACTCTGTAAAAACACGTGGTGGTTAAGAAAACTTAAAAGAATTGAGGAAAATCACACCATATACGACTACTGTCTGTCCAATAAAATAGTGACCGTGGTTATTTTTTAAACAACTCAAGAACGAATGAGACAGAGAGGTGCGATTTTCAGATATGGAAAGAACAGTTCATACGTATCTTTTCAGAAGTGGAAAGCTTTTCGAAAAGCCTTTCAAATATCAGGTTTTGAGGGAATCTCGGGAAATAGCCTATTTCAGGGTAATATTATTTGAGTGTTTCTCTATTGTCGCTTAATATTCACTTTATGAACTTATATTATTCTATGTCTGAAGTCCACAAAGACACGTTTTAAAAAGAGTTATCAAACACTTTATCCTAATGTCGATGAACTCTTATGTATCGATTTCTATATAAAGAAAGAGTGAAAAAGATATACAAGATCTCTCACAATAAAGCGTTTCGTAAGGTAATTGACATACTGATTTCATCATGTTTTACCCGGTCTCTTCGGAAACATAATGCTTTAATTCTGCTTTAGAAAGTTAAAAATCAGATATAAACTAATAATCGGGTTAAAATCGGCAGTTGCCTGGATAAGACAGGTTAGAACCGCTCGTCATTATCTATTTACATGAATACTATCCCTGTGCTTAAGAAAACGTGCCTTTGTGGACTTCAGACATAGAATAATATAAGTTTATAAAGCGAATATTAAGCGACAATAGAGAAACACTCAAATAATATTACCCTGAAATAGACATGCAACGGTAACGATTATCGGTCCATATCAATTAGCGTCATACTGATCATTGGTAAGGACCGGTGATCGGTTAATCGATTATCGTCGTACCGATTATCGCTTCTTACCGATTATCGTCTACCAATTATCGGGCAAATTTTATATAGGAAACGTACGCTTGTACTACCCTATAGGGTAGTACAAACCTATACTAGGTGGAATAACCCATTTTCGCGTGAGATTAGAAAATTCATACTTCATTCAAGATCGATCCATACTATGTCACAATATCAAGATATACTCTATTTTATCTGCTGAATATAATTTTTTACTTAAAAGTAGTAAAACCTATCTCTTAGTGAGGAGGATTTCTAGAAAACCTGTTGTAAAACCGCCGTATTTTGTCTTGGGTTTTAGACCTGTTAATGAAACCCATGATGTAGTGTAGATAAAATAGAGTATGTATGAACCTAGTGAGGTCAAGCATCTATTATGTAATCACTTAAGAGAAATAGAGCTAAACCGAAGATTACTTAATCGATTTTAAAAACTTTTTAACGCCACCATTTCTAGAGAGGGTTTATTGATCATCATACGTCTCTTAGATCTCATCAATCAAAACAAGTAAAGGTCTCTAAATACTGGCATGTTTTCCAGACAGAGAACATTGCAGGACAGGGCTACCCTGTTGTCCTGCCGCCCTACCTTGCCCTGTTGCAGGGCAAGACAATAAAAAATTCCTTGATTTGCCCTGCCTGCAAGAGATTGATTTTTGAGATATTCAAGCTTTTGTGAAGCTTATTATAATTAATTTAACCTTCACTGTATTTTATTTTACTACGTGATAATTTGCGAAAGAAGTGCTCACTGGTCCAGCAGCGTTTTTTCTTTATCCTTCAATAATAAAATAAAAAGATAGATAAAGAGAGCGCGTTTAATAACTTGTTTATCTGCAAGTATATATTTTTTATTTCTGGTATAGAGAATTTTGTTTCTTAAAACGTTAAAGTGTGCTTCCATACAGTTCCATCCACAGAGCTTATAGTTGAGAAAAGCGAGTTAATCTATACTGTACGCCATCGACAATTATATAAAGGTCTCGTAATCACTTTCGAAAAACAGTGTAGGTCACGGTTTTCAACAGAGCAAAGAGGTTTCCGAAAGATTTTCGTTCAAAAAGCAAGTAAATCCCGGACAACCTTAGATGAAAATAAAGCTAAAAGCGTACGTATTTTAATGGTGGATGAAATGGGTAGATAACTATCTTCATTTTTGAACGATAGTCGGTTTATGCAGAAAGTCGAAAGCTTTTAGACAGAAGCAGAAAAAGTGTGCATATTTTCTGGAATTTCGGGGCTCTAGAGAGATATGAAGTAAAAGGCAATGTGTAGTTTTATGGAGAAAGTTGTGGATCATGATTTGGACTTTTTAGCATCAAAGTTCACTACGAAACGTTTACGTAATTGCCAGTATGCTAGAGTAAAGATAAATTCGTTTTCCCAACTATAAGCTCTGTATAAAGCCGGCACAACTGCATGAAAGCACCTCAAAATAATTAATAAACAAACAAAAACGAAGAGTTAAGTTTAAGCAATCAGATCATTGGACTTGAATGTCTTTAAGTGAGTTTTTGAAGAGCCGTTTGCACCTTTTTAGAATATGTTTTTTATTACAGTAAACTGTAATTGTTTTTTCAAAACACTTTTTTAAAAGCCTACTTAGTAAAATTGAACGGTTTAGAAAAACTCTTTTTCGATATTTTCGAACAAACTAGAAACATTTGCTACTCTAAATTAGTTAAAAATTATCCTAAACGGTTTTTCAAATGATGGATTTATTTAGAACCGTTCAATAGAATCGATAATTGCTTTTAAATTCTCTTGGATTCTTGCTGAATACTCTTCAAAGGTATGGGATATTTTGCTTGTAAAATCTAAGATAAAAATTTAGTATGAATCTAAAAGAGTTTAGGAGTCTGTCACAAACTCTGCACTTCAGCTACACTTCCTTTACGGAGTAGTAAATGTTTTCTTTTGATAAAATGGCGTAAAGAGCTTTTTTTACAAGGCTGGTACTTATCTGTCGGTGGCTCTTATACTGAACTAAAGTTAGAAATAAGTTTAGCAAACTTACAAGTAAATGCACGGTATTCCGTCGATATCTCTCTCAACCAAATATTTGTTCAGATCATTCTGAATTCTGGTCCACAGTGTTCCCGGTAGCCTAAATACGTTAATCGGTGGAAGATAGTGTTGAAACACACTTTGTAATACGTCATCATCGATACTCAATACATCTTCCAACTCGTTCTTGCTCACACCGCCAAACAGTTGGATGTATCGTATAGAACGCCTGAACAGTACTTCTCCATGCTTTGTCCCCATTGTATCATACAGATATTTAATAGCATCTCGTGTTTGTTTTATTGAATTAAATTCTTTATTGATCTTTTTATCATATGAATGCCAGCTGAGAGTCAAATCGTAAATCAACGAGAGAACTAACGGTGTTAGAGAATACAGCTGGTCCATTCTATCTTTAACCCATTCGTTTTGGATCGATGTTAACCGTCGTTTATCTTTCTTCAGCCAAGAGTCGAAGGTGGCTAAAGCCGTCTGTTTTTCTAATTTCGGTATTTCCACAAATAAATGGGGCTTATCGTTCAACAAATCTTTTAATGCCAACAGAATATCGATTTCCTTGTCATTGGCCTCAATCTTCGGTATAGTAGATAGAATGCATTTTACATTCGATGGAAATGAGAGCGGTAACCATTTGCAGTCACAGTCAGTTATTTGCAGTTGATCAATAGAGTCAAATAGCAGAACGAGTTGTTTATCCAACGGTATTAGTTCTGCTACGCGTTCTAGCTGCTCCTTTAGTTGTTGAGAATCACCGTCTCGTATTTGAATATTGGCAATGCCAAATATTTTGATAATTTGTTGGGTGACGTTCAGCAATGGTTTACGTATGTCCGATGAGGATGGTGTGAAGCCGAAAAAACGAATTATAACTGAGACGGATGACGGATTCGAATACCATTGTGAAGCCTAAATGAGACACATTACGATATTGGTCAAAAAAGTACAAATTCTGTTTCAAACATCTGTTCCTCTGTTTTATATAACTCTTCAGCACAACTCGCTAAAATGGACACTGATCAAATAACCGCCTGCGCATAGTGTGGAACAACGTGGACATTAGGTGGAAAAACGAAAGCGATATTTTTCGCGATTTGAATAGCAGGTTATATATTTCAGTATACGCTCTATCATTTTACCATTGGACGTTTTTTCTGAAGCCCATTCTTACAGGAAATCGCTGAGGTAAAATTTACCTGAAAATACTGGTTCTGTTCGAAAACTGGATTACATGCAAAATCAAGGTAAGTCTTTAGAAAACCAAATACATATTCGGAATCTGTGTCCAGCCCTCTACCGATGGCTAAAATGTTTTTTAATTTTCTGACTTTTTAAGCCGGAGAAAAACAGTTTTATATTTTTCTAGCGAGTTTTCCAAAGAGGTATGTTCAGTAAAATGCGTGCCCCAGTCACATCCAGCCTTCAAACTGGTTCAAACTTTTAGAGAATGTACACCAATATGTAGTAAATATACACATTTAGCGCCAATTAGCGTCGACGCTTCTGGAAGGTGTAGTAAAATTTCCAAAAGCCCTCGCTTTTTCAGTATATTTTCTATTTTTTTCAGTGTAGATTCGTTCAGAATCGAATAAAAAGACCATATCTGGAATCAGCGTAAAAGACTGCGTCTAAAGATATGTATTTCAGGGTATTTCTGAATAAAAAATGTTTCGTTTTAGTGTAATGCGACGGTTTCAGCGTATTGACATAGCAATTTTGACTTGGAACGTGCACTTGTGCTAGAAAAGCGGTATGAAAGTTTCTAAGCACTGTTTTTATAGGTTTTCGTATACGCTCTTTTTAATGACGCAATCATCAAGCTTTCAAAGTAGGTCTGTATCGGTTTTCCAGAGATCCGATCTCTGAAAAACCAGTTCGAACATACTTCGGAAGTTTAAAGACTGCGTCATTAAAAAGAGCGTATACGAAAACCTATAAAAACAGTGCTTAGAGACTTTCATACCGCTTTTTCTAGCACATGTCCACGTGCCTAGCCAAAATTCCCTGGCCGACCTCGTTCCATATTACTTATCGACAGTTACAAAGATGAAATCCCAGTGAGATTTAATGTGAATCTATTTCTAATAGACGCGTGTAGTGGATTCACTCTCAAGGGTCTTCAGTACAATCCCTCCTGTTCCAAGACCAACATATTCCTGCATCGACACAATCGAAAGGATTATGCGTTAGACTAAACGTCTATATATGCTTGACTAGAATTCAACACAAATAGTAAATCAGTTTAAAGATGTTAACAGAAAATCTCAATATTCTTATCAGATCTAACCAAATAACGCGGAGTATTCTTAAGCTTTACATTTTAATGCGAAAACACTATTCTCAGCACTAATTTCGCAAGCAGACGTACGAACCGTTATATTTTCCATATAAAATTGTTAATGATAACAATATAGATACATACTTGAATGGCCACTTTAGCCATAATCGAAGATTTTCCACAGCCACTTTCTCCATAGATTACACACGGTCTCGTCTCATCGGATTGAATGAAATGCTTTATCTTGAGAGTGGAAAAACATATACTATAAAGATCTACGTATCATTATATTAGCACAGAACTACCTTTTCCAAAATATCGTTTCTCTCGTAGAAACGTGATACTAGTGTCTTACATTCGATAGCATGCTCTAATATTTCTGCGTCCAACGAATCGGTCAATGATTGCTTCACTTGATTTTGTAGTTGAAGCAGACATTGATCAATCTGAGTTTTTAACGTAGCATAAAACTCATCAGCAAAATATTGTAAATAATTCTCTCGATTTTTTAAATTGGCCCATTTAACCTATGCATGTAAACAAACTACCTTTCCTACAATAAGAAAATAATGACGACTGCTGACTTTGAAAATCTTAATATTGGATGGATCTAGTGTTGTTTGAAGCACTTTTTTCAATTCATATAATAGTTGTTTTGGTTCTTGTTCAAGTTCAGTATATTTCGACACGTGTTTATCCGATAAATGATCTTCAATATCGATTATATCACGCATGAAACAAAGTATTCGATTAGTCTGATAAGCCGTTTTATTATTAATAATTGCTCGATAAATCTCTTTAGCAGTAACTAAAACAAGTACTCATGTATTAGCAAGGATTTTGAATCATTAAAGGAAAAAATACCTGATATGAAGAAATCATCATGCTCGTCTTGAGTGATCGTCTTCTGTTGCAAACAAATATTAGCTGCTTTTCTCAGTGATGTGAGCATGGTTTCTTGAATTTTATTCCAATTTTTCTGTTCATCATGTGATGGTAATATACTACTAATAGGCTGTAACACATAGACTGGTTCCAACGGATTTTCGTCCAGTTGATACCATTCATCGAGTAAAAAATTGTTGTCAGCAGTTGCTGCTTCTCTCAATGGATCGAATATGTGTTTTGAAATAATGGCTGGAAGCATTCGACTGCCATAACGATGGCTCAATAATATCTACAATATTTATTAAACGTTAAGAGCAACTTATATGGATTATAACAACCCATGACATTTTTTTTCGTTTGAACCGGTGTCTAAACGCGTGTAAACGACAAAATAATACAAGCACTTTTCGTGTATCGTTTAAACGGCTAACAAACGCTTTTCACCGTAGACAACGTACTTGATGCAAGTACTTGGTTACTTGCTAAGTACTTGTCAATGATCGAAATACTTGCCTCACTGCTAAGAAGTACTTTCTGAAAGTACTTGGCAAGTAAGGACAAGTACTTGCAAGTGTATGTAATTCTAGAAAAAACAAGTACCGGCTTCTTCTCGCAGACGAAGTATTTGGCGCCAAGTACGTTCTCTAGGACAACCATCGATTGAACGCGTTTCTATTATTTCGTCGTTTATAGGCATTTAGACACCATTTCACACGAAAAATAACTCATGGATCATACATACGATGCAATTTGTTGCTAATGATAGTTTGCAACATCGATCTAATTCTTGCAGGCACACGTCGACCGTTGAATGATCGTCCAATGCGATATTTTGAACACCCCATCTCATATCAGAATACTGAAAAAAAGAAATTTTTCTGCAAAATACAAGCTATATCAGATTAAGAAATTTTGTCTTTTTCTGAAACACTTTAGACAATGTTCATCTTTGAATAAATAGGAGCACTATGATATACCTGAAATTCAGAGCCATATGCTTTATGACAGTAATCTTCTAATTTAGGATAAACAGTCTCAATTAGAATATTTCGTTCATCAATTGTATCTGTACATACATAAACCGCACGTTTAGCCTAATTTGTCTACAGTTGAACTCTGGATTAATACCTGAAAATGTCGAGCTAATGAACACCCGAATCGATTTTGACTTATGACTGGGAACATTGTCGAATCTCCCTCGGTACAGCTCCAGCTCAAATGTACTCATGACGTATCGTATATAATAGGATCAAGCCTAAATGAGAGAGAATCAGATAGTGATGAAATCTTATAACGAAATTAGCAATGTCGAAGGCTGTTTTCATTTGTAAGCTTAATGCAGAATAAATTACTTATCTTTCTAAATATGAGTCCTCGAGCAAATCGCATTGTATCATCGCAAACAACCACGAGAAGAATGGTCTGATTTTAATTCATACCGCGGTTTTATTACGTTAAATCGCTGGACTGGTTACTTGAGTTATACAACCCATGATTACTTGTAATCGCCATTAAGCAGGTTCAACACCACGACAATAGGCACCTAATGTTCTAGATTTCTTTTGATAATTTTATTTACATTTCTTCAATAAAAATGGTTCATTATTTGCAGTTTACTGTCGTTTTCTCAGACAGTTCCGTAGTATTTCAGTCGATAGATGCCGCTCACTCTTTGATGTGGTCAAAGCGCATTCACCAAATCATACTTTTACGGTTCGAGTATTTTCCCTATTCATCAGTAAATGACATATTTCAGGTTATCTCTGTGAATATTCTCTCTCATCACTGTAAATTCGATTCGCAGAAAAGTCCGTGATTTACCAGGGTCAGATCGCCGAGCACGAAGACGTCGCTAGTTTATCCGCATGTGGCGAATTAGACAACGTAGCAGCTGTTAATTCAAAGTAGATTATTTTTTCTCTCAAGAAAACTCAGCACTAAAAGTCAAACAGCTACTGTAGCAAAGTGGATGAAAATAGCATTCTATGCAGTTTAATGGATTGTCATTGGTGATTGCATCGTGAAATTACGACGACATCCATATTTTATCCAAAGGAAGATAAATATTAGATGGAAAAAAGAGAGAAAAAAAGAAGAGAAACCATTTACTTCGAAAAATAAGTGGATACAAACGTAAGTTAAACAAAACGTCATATTCTGAAAGTTTTTGGATTATGATGAAAACCGATATATTTTTATTTTTATTTTTCGTAGGGCGATAAAAGTCGTGTTGAAATATTTAATTCTTATGCAAAAATTTGGCAGAATAAAAATGGAAACAGAACAATTGTGGCCATATTTTTTGAATACATTGACAAATCATGATCAATTCATTGTGCATCAGGTTTGTGTGTTATGTGTATACTCTTGTCTGTTTCTCATTTTATTTTCATTTGACTTTAATTTTTAGACAAGTCGTATCACCGCCAAATTAGCGTGTTGGAGTCATGAACATATGCTCGTACCGGATCTTGAATATTATTTGGCATGGTTAAAAGAACAATTAAAACCACAAGTGAACAGTCATTCTACCGTTCACCGATGTAGTGTGTGAGTCAAAGCTAAAGCAAAGGGAAAATAGGTTGAATAAGTTACTGGCAACACTGATAGATGATGATTTTCCGGAACGAACCAAACAAGAAACCTTCAGGTGCAGAAAGATTGAATGATCAATGATAAAGATGTCGAGCCCCAGTAGAGGCCGAAACAGCCGACGGAGGTCGCTAGTTTCAATATCTCAGATTTCAGGCTGAACTGGATTGCAATGAAACGGGAAAATATAACTGAATCTGTCAGAGCCGTAGACTTTAGCACAAGGAATGATCGATGATTGCTCAGCACTAAGAACAAGGTGTTCGTAAACTTAGTTATCAGTAAATAAAAGAAATTAAAAAAATGTGTCGAATCAGTATGGTTCTATATATATCGACGCAATGGCTGGTCTAGAAAAAATAGTTATCACATTATATGATGTTTTGGTAAGGGTACCCCGCTGTAAGCGTCAGGTGCGCTTGTACTAACAGCTCACAAAACAATCCCAGTTCAGAATCTCTACAAATCAACAATTTATTACCAACTAATTACTAATACAAATAATTTTAACAGTAATGAAAGTCTGTTCTTCTTCAATTAATGAAGAACAGTAATAATTGAATGTTGATAATGGAATGTTGTTGAATAGTTGCTAATGTTGATGAAGAGAAGGAGTGAGGAAGAGAATATGCAAACGGAAATTATTGCGGTATAAGAAGCACAGTTAGAACGAAAATACTAAATTATATTTTGTAAATAAGAGAAATTATTTAACTTGAACGAGATAAGAAGATGTAATGTAGAATTGAGCTCCTCCTTCTCTGAATGTGAGAGAGGAAGAAGAGAAGAGATGTGAATTTGAAGCTGAAAATTGACAAGAATCATCAAGGAATCAAAATTTACTTTCAATTATGACTTGTTTTTCGTTTTTGTTCCCCGGAAACGACTTGTATTATTTATTAATTTAATACATAATTTCTTCCTTCTATTATCTCTCTTACTAAAACCCGCGAAATTTCGAAGTTTTAAGAATTTCTATAAACTGCAATAAGATCAAGCATGGAGAACAACGTAATGGCGATGAGCCGTTACAGTCGCCCCGGGAGAATCCGTCCCGGATTCAAAAATCAGAGCAGATAAAGGCGTTTGTTAATTTTGTTTCTCCTGCTTGATATTCGAGAGTAAATGATTGGCGCCACTACAAAGAAATCGAACTAGATTGGCACCTAATCGTTTATCTCATTTGAATGAAAATTCAAATACAAGTCAAATCTCGTCTTCTGATCAAATACTATAAAATATCGTAACGTCAATAAATAAAATAAAAAAAATAAATAAATAAACAAATAAAATAAAATACAATTAACCAAAATTAAATTGAATAGAAGTAAGTGGAATTGAATTCAAGTAAATTGAATTTAACTTAAATTAAATTTAGAAAAGAAAACATCCACCATCATCGTCATAAAAAAATAAAAATAAAATAAATAATCAACAACAATTTCATCATCATTGCCAATTGTCCATGGACAACATAAATGACGACGATGAGAAGAAGAGAAGAATGTTGCATATTGTTCAATGGGTGGAAAGAGTGGATGGTGGCAGCCTACTCGTTTTGGTCGAAAAACCCACCGGTGGTGTCAGCTGCTCAAGAAGAGTATTGCTTATTGTATTTAGCAATACTCTTCGCGCAAAAGACGCAGCTGTTCACCACCGCGCGGGTCTTCGGCCAAAAGCTACCACCCACTGCCGGGACAGTCGTCTTTGCAGAAACAGACTTCGCTCCGGACTCATATATTGAGTCTTTTACTCATGTTTATTTTTATGATTTTTGTTTATTATTTTAATAATTGATATTTTGTTTTTGTTAGGTTTCCTTTTCTTTTCTCGCTTTCTCCCTTGGTTTCCTTTGTCTCAGTTGTCGTTGTTTTTTTTTGTGTGTGCTTGTGTAGATTGTTTATTTTTTTAATATAAATTGAAAGCTTAATCGAGAAACCTTCATATTCACGAGGCGGGCAAAAGGAATAGAATGACTGTCGCTGTGCTATTTTGATACAGATTTGAGGAGAGAAAGCTAACGAGAAAAAGGAAAAAGAGACTACTTAGCCTAGATTCAAAATGGCTGTACTGTTTTTTTGTTTTTTTATCTAAGAGTACTCCTTCAGTCAGAATCGCTCGATTTCAACCATTTACTGATTTTAAGAAAGGGAAATCTTACTTGACATATAAGAGACACATAAGAGAATTTTTTTTTTCAATGACAAGAACGTAGAAATTTGAAGGTTTGAGAATTTCGCGCATTTCAAAAGAAACTAGTTTTGTGAATCCACTGACAATAATTCTGACAGATTTAAATTTCTCATCATCATCGCTCCAAAATCTCTCAAACAAATAAGTAATAAAAAATATAAAAGTCAATAATTAAATCAATAATTGAAGACGGACAGTCGTGTACCTTCAAGGAAAAATGAAAGTTAACTAATGGTAGAAATTTGCGAAGCGTTTTCTTTATCTTTGAAGCAAATACGACGGATTCTTGACCATAGTACGGTATGATAAAGAAAATCTTTTTCTCCGATGGACTGTCTGTTGGTTGATTTACTCGTTTTACAATTATCTCATCTTCGCGAATCCCTCTTCGAATGATATGTCCTGGGTACCCATTCGAAATCAGTGTGTTTTTTAGGTGTTCAATTTCGTTCTTGATCAGTTCCTGGTTAGAGCATATACGATGAATTCTAATCACAAGAGTTTTTATTAGCCCTAACTTGTACTGTCTATTCTGTGATGAGTCCCATAGCATGTATAGTCCAGTGTGTGTAGGTTTCCTATACACTGTGGTAGTAAAACTATCATTCTCTAATTCCACTAGTACGTCTAAAAAGGCTAATGTGTTGCTCTTTTCAAACTTTCATTCCTGATGATGCCAACTGAAAGCTGGCGAAAGCTCGAATAAAGTATTTTCAAGACTGAAAGTCATGTTATTCATAGCAGTTCTATATTCGATTTACAAAAATGAAATGTTAGTTATCTGAATCTTTCTGGGCACTATACGATGTGATTTGAGAAAGACGAGAAACCTCACCGACATCTTTTCACCGGAGCCATTCATAATATTTGTTAAAAAGGTCAGAAGACAGTATACGTTGTAATTTCAGAATATTTACTCCAGTATGCACATTATGATCATAGTGCAGCAACAATCTTTTTATTGGTGAATGAATAAAAAAAATCACTTTTATCAAGAGTAATCATATGAAAAATGAAAAGTTAAAGCTCACAGTAGTCAAAGAGTCGCGTGAATTGTTAGTAGATAGAACATAAATATCAGTTCGAATCGGAGGCTACAGTTTTATCAATTTCGTTAATTAATTCTAAGTATGAAGCATCAAAATCTATTTGTGTAAAATCAATACTTTTTCTATCACCGATAATTGCCTTTAACCACCCTGATGGATTATAATCTCTTTCTACTATCAATGGTATGATCGATTGGTCACGTTTCCAAGCATATTCAGCCTCAGCTTGACATGATTGTGATGCACGATATCCAGTTGACATACAAATAAGAACTATCCTTGAATTTTCAATTTTTTCAGCCATTACCTTGGGAAGTGAACCGTATACATTCTCTTTCCCAATCCAAACGCGATAAAATTTTGATTTTTGTAGAGTATTATAAATTTTATAGCAAAGTTCTTTATTATTATATGAATAGCTTATCGTTAAACCATGAATAGGTTTACTCTCCGACAAGTTCCAGCGATAATCGCCATTAACATATTGATATATGGCTTCACTTTCAACAAATTTTGTCTTTGGTGTTTCGCGTCTTTGTTGTTGTCGCTGTTTCTCTTTTTTTTCTTCTTCCTGTTTTTGACGAATAAATGCTTTTTCATTACTTAATCGCCACAAGATACCATTGGCCGTTCGTTCCTCTTTTATGTTTCTTGATGTTGATAGTTTTGTAACATGTTTCATGAACTGTTCATCATCATTCAAGACTTCAACAGCTTTCTTACGGAGTTTAAGAGAATACTTTTGTTCTTCATGGTCTGCATCATCATGTTTGTCTACAGTTACACTTTGCGTCTGATGGCCATTCTCTTCAAACTCTAAATCTACTGGTTGACTAAGGGAAGAAGAACTGCGACTAACCGGGATAGAAATGTCCGTCACTTCAGACTTTACTGCTTTATGGCCCGATCCAGTAAATATTACACTCCAGACGACGTCTAAAGCCGGAAGTTGAATTGATGTATGATCAAATTTTTCATCGTATGCGCATTTCGCTATCAACTGTAAACCTTCTTCATCTTCTGCAATGGTATTTTTAACTTCATCATTCTGAATAATAGCTAAAATCAAGATAACTACATGAAAACACTTTTAAAAGCTGAGCTATTTATACAGGAAAGTTTACATATAGTTGAACATACGAAAAACAGAAGGAGGAAAAAAAGAGCAATGACGTCAGTAGAATAGAAAAGAACATGACGTATATTTACTGACCAAGACATATAGCGTCAATACTCTCTAAAAAAAAAGATACTCTATCGAACCTAAAAAGGGTTTAAAATTTTGTCACGATCTATATACCTTTTTAAGGTGTCGTACAAACTATATGCCTTTTTGACTTACATCTCAACTTTATTTCAAGTCTTGCTGAATAGCATACGTACATACGTGCATGGTAATACTTTCGTGTTTGAAAAATTTAAAACTTAGTTAAAACTAATCGAATAGTTATAAAAATAGCTTGACGTGTGTGACTTGATATGCTTTATAAAATGGTTGATGTGAAAATCCCAAATTCGATTGAAAAATTTTGTAGTCTGGTTTTCTAGAAACCTCACTTGCTTTTCTAGAGGATTTTAAAAGATCCCAAAAATCCTATCGTAGCTTATGATAGTATACATAGTGTACTCCAACAATATCATAGGGAGTGAGAGTTTTGCATCATTTTCTGAGAAAAAATCTTTCTCCAAAATGATCCGATCGATGATTTGGACTCTCATGGCAGCATATACTGTAAAAGAGCGAAAGCTTGTCTGGAGCTCGCGTTTGTATGAATTTGTGATAGACACTATCTAGTAGTTATGATAGAATTCTTAAGTGTAAGTATTGTGTTGTTACGGAGTTGTTTCCTTAGATGTCGGAATTTGTGCATTTTCGGGCATTTTGCAAAATTGAATATCTCAGCAATGCAACAACTTTAGGACCTGCAATTTTCGCCAAAATTCATGAAACTGTTTGCTCTAAAGAAGCCCCTAGTATCGAAGAAATCTGAGATGGTCGATTGAGCACATTAGGTCTTACTTATTAATGGCTTTAGAATATATGTTAAAATAAAAGCTAACCATTCATGGGTCCCTTGTAAGTGAATATGAAAAATATTTTACTATCATATGATATGAGACTGCGCCTAACCTTTTTTCAAAAATAAAAAAGTAATACAAGTCATTAATAAGAAATTGCTGAACTAGCCTCTTGCTTGATCAAACAATAGGAGTGCTTCCATTTCTGACATTTGAAGAACAGCGTCTATTCTTTCCCAAACACATCCATCTATGCTTCTTTCTAGCCCTCATCTGCTTAACAGTGAACCGACGAAAAACTATTTCAAAGTCGATTTGCGCTTTGCACGCTGAACTTCGAAAGCCAGTTGCGAATTATAACATTCGTCTAGCTGGACCAAAAGACCATGTAAAATCTGTTTGTGATTTTATTAGAATTTTATTGGATTTATCAGCCAGAAGTATCCTTTGATCAAAAAGGTGAAACGATTATGTTCTATCTACTAACAATTCACGCGACTCTTTAACTATTGTGAGCTTTAACTTTTCATTTTTCATATGATTACTCTTGATAAAAGTAATTTTTTTTATTCATTCACCAATAAAAAGATTGTTGCTGCACTATTCAGTCATTTAGTTATCAGCTCCTTTCAAAATTGCTGTTCAAACATATTGCTCTAAAGAAGCCCCTAGTATCGAAGAAATCTGAGATGGTCGATTGAGCACATTAGGTCTTACTTATTAATGGCTTTAGAATATATGTTAAAATAAAATCTAACCATTCATGGATCCCTTGTAAGTGAATATGAAAAATATTTTACTATCATATGATATGAGACTGCGCCTAACCTTTTTTCAAAAATAAATCTCGATTTCTAAATAACTTGATCAGAGCTAAGAGGCATACATAGTGAGATCTTGACGGATTTTAGGCATACATAAGTGAGCAAAGCTGTATGATAGTATCCACCAATTATTTACATACTTGTAAGATTTGTAAATACACCATCTAGTTTAATCCCGTGATGTGTTTGTGTTGGCTCATCAACCGTATTTTCTATATAATAAAGATAGGCTTTTGCGATCCTCCTAGGTTGTTTTATATCATCAATATTTGTTTGATCAACTAAAATTTTTGATAATGTTTGTGCTACAAAGTGAATACTTCGATCTTTTACCATCTGCAATCTTAAGCAAATGTCTAATAGTCTTTTATTGGCTTTCAAAATGGAAAATAATTGCCTATGAAACACTAAATTATATAATAATGTTATTGAATATGAAATAACACTAACGTCAACATGAAATGCCTGTTGGTTGTTCATTATACTTTCAATTAACGAGTTTGTACTTAATATATCTAAAATTTTATCGATAATATGATTTGTTGCTTCTGCAGTAGGAATAAAGTCGTTTCTTATCGACGGTAACAATGCAAAATAATTTAACAATTTAATATGACAACCTATAGCGTTCATCCGAGCACCTTTAGGCTCTCGGTTTGTGACACAATTTCTGTCACAGTTGCCCAAAACTTCTCCTTCCAGTGTAACTGGTAAATGCTTTTTAAAAATTAGTTTATTATATTCTAGCATTATTTTAGATAAATTATAGGATACTTTATGTTGTTGTTTAAACGTATATTTAATAATAAAGTCGGAACATTCACGAATGAAAAATGATTGTTTCGGATTAAACGTAGGCTGTTTCAGATCAATATTTTGAAAGACAGTTAAATAATGTCTGGAAGAAAGACATTCAATCGTAGCGTCGATTACTGAGTCTAAATTTACGTCACTTTCGTTCAATTTTCTACAAAGACGAACAAGTCTATCAGCAACTTTGTATTTGACAGAATACGGTTCATATTCATTGTTGGATAAATCTTTGATTAGTCGAGCAACTTTATCGAAAAATGATGTGGTTAAAAATATTTTTTGATATGATATTTCATTTATTTCATTTGTATAAAAACCTATGCGTTTTCCATTTCTGTACAAACATAAATATGCGATCAGATAACTTGTTTCATATAAACAATTTTGATCTACTTCTTCCATATTAATCTGTTTTTCATAATTCCATTTTGTTAATAACATTTCAAATGTACGTCCTATAATAATAATTAATGGATGCTTAATAATAACTGGATCATCAAATATTTTCAACGTATTAACACTAGCCAGTTCATTACAAACTATTGCTATAACGTTCAAACCATTAGATTGGTTATCGATTGTGTTTAAAAATGAAACAATTTCATTAAATATTTCTTTAATATTAACAGCTCTTATAGGTGTTTGCTCTTTACGAAGTTGGCGAAATACAAAAGAACACCGATTTAACAATAAATCCATGGAAAAGAAATAATACTAATCTAAAAGCAAGTAAAAATTTACAAGGACTATTGAAATTGGATCAAGGAGAATATAAACTATTTTTGTGGCAACTATATAGTAAACAAATGTTCAAGGTTATTTATTTTGACACAATTTTGATTAATATATAAAATCTTTTCAGAGCAGCCACAATATAGTAATATTATTATAGGCGGTTAGAACTTTTTACATAACTGTTGAAATCTGTATACAATTCTAGAGCTAACGAGGAAACGTTTCAACTCTCCAGTGGCCTTAGAGCAAGGGGGAAAAGGCGAAATGGGCTGGAATGGGCCATTCCGTACCATTCCAAACATTTTTGACCATTTTGGAATGGTATGGAATGGCCTGGAATGGCCCATTTC